ATCTTGTTTCACAGTCGGTAAACTTTTTCCTAAGGTAGTATATTGCGTGCTCTTTTCGACTAGACTCATCATGTTTCCCTAATACACACCCCATTGAGTTCTCTAATATTGTTAAGTACATGATCAAAGGTCTTCCTTTAATCGGTGGCATCAGAATTAGAGGTTCCTGGAGGTACTACTTGACTTTGTCAAAGGCTATTTGACAATAGTCGTTCCACTTCACTACTAGATCTTTCTTCAGTAACTTGAGGATTGGCTCACAAGTAGCAGTCAAATGGGAAATAAATCTGGAAATATAGTTCAATTGTCCCAAGAAACCTCTGACTTCCTTCTCATTACTGGGAGCTGGAATTTTTTGAATGGATTTAACCTTGACATGATCAACTTTAATACGTTTACCACTAACGACAAAACCTAGGAGTTTACCGGATCTTACCCCAAAGGTGCACTTGTTTGTGTTCAACCTCAACTTGTACTTCTTAAATCTCTCAAATGGCTTGTGCAAGTGGTCGAGATATTCTTCTTCAGTCTAAGACTTGGCTATCATGTCATCAACATAATCCTCTATCTCATGATGGATCATATCATGGAATAAAGTAACCATCGCACGCTGATATGTTGCACCGGCGTTCTACAAACCAAAAGGCATAACTTTGTAACAGAAAGTGCCCCATTGTGTGACAAAAATAGTCTTATCCATGTCTTCAGGTGCCATCTTGATTTGATTATAACCAAAGAAACCATCCATGAAGGAAAATACTTTGTGTTGGGCGGTGTTGTCAACCAGAACATCGATATGCGGAAGCAGAAAGTCATCTTTGGGGCTCACCCTATTCAAATCCTTGTACTCTATACACATATGCACCTTATCATGCTTCTTAGGTACCAGTACCATGTTTTCAATCCACTAAGGATAGGACGTAACAGCTAAGAAACCTGTATTGAACTGCTTCATGACCTCAGCTTTGATCTTTTCGGACATCTCGGGATGCATACGACGAACCTTCTCCTTTATAGGAGAACAACCTTCCTTTGTTGGTAGACGATGAACCACAATGTTAGTATCAAGCCCTGGCATGTCTTCATAAGACCAGGCAAATATATCAACATAGTTACATAACATCGGGATTAACCTTTTTTGACATTGTCTTCTAGGTCAGCACTATCTTGATTTTTTCTTGTCCTCTTCAATATCCAGGTTCACAACTTCGACTGGCACTTCATGCAATTGCATGGATATTTCCTCCTACTCTAACAGTCTAGAAAGCTCTCCTGATACTTAACAATCTTCCTCACCTTCGTCCTCAGATTGGTAGATCGGATTTTCGAAGTCATAATTGGCAACAACAGAATTGTTATCAATGGGCCCCAGGGTAGATGTAGATCTACAATTTGTTATGTGGGTGTGTGTAAGAACACATAGATATTTTGAAAGCAATAAATTAAAATAAAGACAAAGAGTGCAAAATTTGAATGCAAACGTCCAATGATTTATTAAATGAAAATACACGGATGAAAAATGACAGCCCTAACAAATGGACTATTGTGACCCGGGTAAGGCACAAGGCTTAAAGTTATTGTTCAAATTACATAAACAAAAACTTGAAAGAAATAAAACAGAAAATAACATTTACTCCTGATTAAAGGAGATTGGTATAAAGTCTTCATCCTTCCAATTGTTGAGCCCACTATCAGTAGTAGTAAAAATCTAACTATCTATGACACAATCGCTATCAGCGTCTTCCACGACGTTAACTTGCTTTTTGTGAATTCTATTATTGTTGATGCGAAATGGCAGTATCCTAGAATTAACACGAGCACGATGGAAATCCCTATGAGCCTCTGAGGTGAAACCAAAACCAAATTTGTCAGACTTGTAAGGAATATCAGGAAGCTGACCCCAAATAGTTCCACCACCTTCTTCTACCACAGCCTTAGCGTCTTTCAGAGAAGCCATCTTGGTAACCTTAGGAACAATATGAACAGCTTTAGCAACAGGGGTTGTTTGAGGAATAACTTCAAAGTTCTGGAAAGGAGTTTCGAGGAATTCACCATCCATCTCAACATACTTGAAGGAGTTCAAATGGTTCACCATGTATTCTTCTTTGCCATAAACTGTAATGATTTTTCCTTTCACGGGATACTTTAACTTTTTGTGTAAAGTAGAAGTAACAGCGCCTGCCCCATGAATCCAAGGGCATCCAAGCAAACAGGAATAAGCTGGAAAAATTTCCATCACATAGAAAGTAGAGTCGAAGACATGGGAACCCACTTTGATTGGAAGATCAACCTCTCCATTCACCATTCCCTTTGAACCATCAAAAGCTCTCACCACAACGTCACTGGGTTTTAGCACAACCCCTTCATAGTCAAGTTTATCTAAAACAGCTTTTGGCAATACATTCAATGAGGAACCTGTGACCACCAACACATGAGATAAGATAGTGCCCCTACACTCAATAGAGACATCTTGGGCCTTATTATGGTTCCTTCCTACTGGAGTTAAATCAGCGTCAAAAAAGTCTAGCCCATTATCAGTTGTCAAGCTAGTAACACAATTTTCGAACTGATCAACAGAGATTTCCTGCAGTACATGAGTAGATTTCAGAAACTTTAGCAAAGCCTGAGCATGGGATTCAAAGTACAAAAACAGAGATAGCATAGATATTTTGGAGGGGGTATGCCTCAACTGTTCAACAATCTTATAGTCACTCTTTTGAATAATTTTTAGTACCTCCTCCATCTCTTGCTTGGAGGTATCTTCAACAGTAACCTCTTTTGGATCCTCAGTCTGGGCAGGCTCAGTCATTTGTTCTTTGCCTCAAATCTCAGTACTTAATTCAGTGGCAGTGATACAAATTGGTGTAGTAACAGCCTCTGGAGAGATCTCTGGAGAAAAAACCCTTCCACTTCTGGTAACCTTACTAGTCCCAACAATATTGCCAACATTGGATCAGTAACTTCAGTATTTTCTTTTTCAACAGCCAATGGTTCTTTCTTGGCGCCATCATAGTAGACATCAGCTCCATAATTCCAAGGGATAGCCTTGTTAGAGGAATATGGAATTGGTTGAGGTGCAGTAATGATAAGAGGAGCAACCCTAGGCTCGACAGTAATCTTCATAGGACCCTTAGAAGTGATCCTTACAGGAGTACTAGAAATTGTAATCACAAACACGTCTTCAAGCTCCGGGTTTTGAGACATACTTTTACATAAGATCTCCCCAGAATGAGTCTTATCAAATAGAAATACATCGTTATCTATCAAACATTGAATACCTTCTTTTAGCAATATACACCCATTAGATTGGGACGCATAGTAGTAACAGTTTTCAACGCAACTCGGAAATAAATAGGCTTGCAACAACTTCTTCATAACATTCATCATAGTAGTAGTCAAGTCACTCACAACAAAAACATAAGAAACATCATCAATATCATTAAAACCCTTGTCATGATTAGGCATAGGTGCAGTGATCACATTAGGAGTCTCAGGAGGATCAAATTCAATCTCCTTAGAGTCAATCATATCTTGAATCTTATTTTTCAGAGCCTAACAACCATTAGTGTCATGTCTGGGACTATTGGAATGATAATCACACCTTGCATTGGGATTGTAACGGGGAGATAAAGTATTGGGATTCTGTAGAGGATCCTTTAATGTAATCAACTCTGCCTTTAACATGTGTTACAATGCTTGAGACAACGGCATGTTGATTTTTGTGAACTATCTTCTGAGTACATCCTGCCTACGCTGATTGTTTTGTTGTTATTGTGGCATTGGCGCAGGATTAGAGATTAGAACTGCCCCCACAGATTGGTTGCGGTCACTCTTATTACGACCCTTATGGTCGTACACAACATTGGATTCTTTCTTACCATTGTATGACTTCTTTGCAGTATTCGAAGATGTATCCACCTGAATTTTACCACTTCTAATTCCATTCTCAACATGTTCCCCTGTCAATATCAGTTTAGTGAAACCGGCTGAAGAACTTCCAAGTAGGTGATTATAGAAAGGACCGTTAGCATACTCATGAACATGTCAACCAATTCCCTATCAGCCAAAGGAAGTTGAACTCTGCCTGTTGTAATACCCCAAATTTGTCCTACCCTTTCACTTTTATCTGGCTTATGCATCTCACGCTTTTCTCATGTACATAACCTTCATTAGGTCATCTAACACATAATGCATCATCAGTCAATAATTTGGCATGGGAACAATATTGAGGAATTAGGGTGGTTGTATGGCTTTAAGGCTCTCATCTTTGCACAAACTTGTTTCGGTTGATTTCTTCATCAATCATTTGTTTGAAGTTGGGTTTTATTTCCTGGACCTCTTTATCATCAAGCTATAAGGATATTCTTTCTCCTTAACATCAAGTTGCAATCTTTCTTAAAGGCTTAAGATTAGGGTTTCCATATGGTTCGAGATGGTTGTATCAATTGAGCATGGTTCAAATGTTGTTTCTATTTGAGCATGGAATGTAATTATGATTTGGAGTCTCCTCAACTTATAAGACTATATTTCCATTAGCATTAATCAAGAACCATGGAATCGGGGATGGGTCATTTATTTGAGGATTCCTTTGAGGCTTGGGGATCAAATTTTATCTTCTTATGGTTATGCTTACTAAGTGATCAAGACTAGGTGTATCAAAATTTCATAAATTAAATGTGTATGAGTCAAGATCTTTGTGCAAAAGAGTATGGAAGCATAATTCATTTATCATCCATCAAATTAGGGATTCATTCCCAATTCTTCCATCAATGTTTATTTCAGGGACTTAAGTTAAGTATTCATAATAGCGTGGATACTATGTGGAAATAATTTGAAAATAAATAACATGGGAGAAATTTCATCAAATTCAAAGATATTCAAGTTTCATACAGGTCCCATCCAAGTTTCATTCAAAGATATTCAAACATATTATACAAGCTCCATCAAAGTTCATTCAACTTCATTCAAAATTACAAGAATACAAAGTTCTAAATATCACATTACGAATTTGGTCCTAAACATAAGAATTCTAAGTTTCTAGACTTATGAACTTCATGCTTTAGGTTGCCAAAACCAAACTCCAAGCATCCATAACATCTCAAAGTAATCTTCATTGTTGATGCCCTTATCTCTTGAATTTCTTCACCATGTTTATATGTTGTATCCACACCATCTATGACCAAACTTGTTGTTAAAACTATCTTCAATACACCTTTCCATTCACCATGCCTAACATCAACCTGCATAAATATATTACAAAAACTAGAAATTTCACAAAAGATTATAACAGGACTATAACAAACAGAAATCCTCCAACTGATTTTTCCAGCTCATACTAACCTCCAAAAACTGACATATAACAGAATTCTTTCTAACTGCCAACTCCTAACAAAAACCTAACAGTTCTTTAACCAACTATGTATAACCAATTCTAACAAAATTACAGTTCATCCTAACTGTCCTTTAACAGAATTGCTAACTTCCTCTCCAAACAGTCCAACAAACTCTTAACTGATCACACCAATCTACGTCAATTAACCAAAATTGCCAACATCAAAAATCCAATTCAATTGACCAAGTAAAATGGGCTGCAAGGGAAATATCAGAAACCGTGAAAATAGAAAACTCAGAAGAAGCAACACATCAACTAATTATAAAAATCAAAAGAGCAGCTCTACAAACTGTCTAAATAACCCAAACAAAAAAGTTTCCTAACCAATTAACCTGCCATTTTCCTAACTTCTTAACTGTCAAAAACAGAAAATAGCTAAGCTCTCCCATTCTTCATAATAGAACCCAAAACCTGTCCACAACCTTCTAACGGTTTAACACAAAAAGCAAGATAACAGAATTCATGACAGTTTCTTTTTTATAACCAATTCATAACGGAATTCCAAACCAACTAACCTATAGTCAAAACAGAATTCTAAGCCCCTAACCAACTGTAACTACCCTTGACCAATTTCTAACTGTAAAAAACAAGCTGTAACAAACTACCAACTGACATACGGAAAAAAACATAATAACATAAAGGAAGAGGAGAGAGGATGCACAAGGCTTTTATAACAAAAAACTCACCAGATTATTCACCATTTTCCATTATCTTAGAAGAATCACCACACAAAAACTCCAGAAAACTCTCATCTTTCTCTCTTCACCTTCATCATCATAGTTCTTAAGTATCAACACATAGCTTCTGTCACACTCTCCATCCACCAATTTGAAGCTTCAAACTTCACAAAACTGATAACGGTTCTTCTCACTGCAACATCTTCATTATAGCAACTACCTCTTCAAGTCTTCATCATCATCTATGATTTCTTCACGACTCTTTAAGCCCCATTGCTACAATTTTCTACAATGGACATCATTTTCATCGCAACTTCAAGGACTGCATCAAGAATCTGCAACCGCGAATTGATTCAACAATCATCAATATTTATCTTTGGTCCTTCAATTCTGCGTCACTATGAAACCGCTCGGCATCACCGTCAATTTTTCCTCGTCAATCCACAAGAGACAGAAACACATAGAACTCAAATTGAAGGAGAATAAATAAAGAAGAAGTAGATCGTAGGAGAATTGATCTAGACCAAAAACATTTTCCTAACAAATTTCTTTTCTTAAATTAATTTAGACTTAGTTTTTTGTTTTAATTTTCTTTTCTAATTAAATCAACTTAGAACTTAGAATTTTTAATTAATTAATTTCTTTCTTTTTTAGTTTAATTAGGTTAACCTTAAAATCATTCATATAAAAACTCAAACAAAAATAATCTTCTTTTCTTTTACATTATCTTTATATTCTTGTACATTTTACATTCTATTATTCAATATGGTTGTAATAATTATTTAGATTTAATTTCTTGCAATTCCAAATTTTTGATTTGTACACCCCTTCCCCTAAATGATGTAATAGCTTTGTATTTTTATTTTCCGCAATTTAAATGTTTTATATACAAATACTAGTAATTAGGGTTTGTATGGAAAGATTAAAACCAACAAATAGCAAAACCCTAATCAAGAAAAATCAAGCATGTAAATCAATACACTTGCACACTTACACCCTTAGGGTAAACTCACTTTGTTGCCTTACAAAAATGGTCATATTATGCATGTGAGGTATCTTAGCAAAAACAAACAAAATACAAGATCATAGTCCCTCAATGACGCTATCAAAGTTGCCTTTCAAAAATGAAATTAGTCCCTTAAAGAAAATACTAAGATATCTTACAACATTGCTAATCATGGCTATACGATGACCCTTGCCCGTCCCTTTTACATCCAAAGATAAGGTTTCTTACCAAATTGATGGTAAGATAACAATGTCAAAAGAAAGAGGAAATAAACATGAAAGACTTTTTGAGTAGGTAGATTGTTCCTAGTTGCTTGCAAAATTTCAAACCAAAACATCCTTGCTATTTTTAAAAACAAACACCAACACTTTCAAAAAACATCTTTCAAACTTGAAAATATTTTCAAAAGATCAACACTTTGTATACATTCTTACGAACGAGAATCATTACAAAGTTTGCCTAAACAATGACACCTTTTCAAAACACTTTCAAAAATCACACAAAGCACATTTTCAAACAAAAGCAAGTGATCTAGCAAGCAACTAAGAGCCCAAGGAAAACCATGGATGGAAAGGGTGCTAACACCTTCCCTTTTCATAATCTACCTCCCGAACTCAAGAAAACATCTCAAAGGTCTTTCCTGTTCTTTTCAGCCTTTCCTTTTGGATAAAAGGAAAGTCGGTGGCGACTCTTGCAAAACCGCAACATTTATGATCAAACACAAAACAACCAAGTCAGTTCTTCCACCATGTTACAGAATGGGCGACTCTGCTGGGGAATTTTTAAAAGTGGGGTTTACCTTAGGGCTAGATCACATTTAATTTATTTCAATGTTTGACTTGTATGCTTTACATTTTGGTTCTTTGTTTGGGTTTGAATCCTCTACCCGGATTTGGGATACCTTATAGGTAAGTAGCAATACATTGTGGAAACTGTGTGGGGTCTACCGACATGGTCTAAGAAATAGCTATATTAGTGTGACATATTTGTGGGTACCGATAGCCCTTGAGTAGTCAAGGAGAATACGGGGCCGCTGAGTGATGTCGTGAAGCACTAACTAACTTCTAGAACCTTTACTTGACCAACATGGCCATTAGGACATAGTGTGATGACCGGCTTTGGTGCAGTCCGAAGTTGGTAGATACTCGATACTACACTCATTGAGGTTTGGTTTTTTGGGATATTTCGGTTTCCATTAAAGAGGCTTGTGCTGAAACAATGCCCGAGAAAACATACCAGTGATATTGAGCACCCTTAGAACCCGGTTACTATTGCTAGGACAAGTTTGAGCCAACTAAACTTCAAGAGGGTACTTACCTATGAGACTCCATGCAAGCCTAAACCTAAGGATTTATTTTTTTGTTTGTATATATTTTCTTGTATATAACATCATAAACATCATAACATTATACTCATACTTACTAACCATTTCAAGGATTTTTGGATTTATTTTGTTCTGTTTTATAGGACATGGATTCTATTCGCAGGAAAACCATTCAAGTCAATCTTATAAATATCCCCCCTCAACTTAAAGATTTAGCATCAAGGGTTCCCAAAAATTATCCATTTACCGAAAGACATGGTCGCCTCCTAAACTTGGTTACCTACAACACTGATGAGGACATGATGAAGGTGCTCTTACAGTTCTTTGATCCTCTACACCGTTGCTTCACATTTCCCGATTATCAACTTGTGCCAACTTTGGAAGAATTATCCCAACTCTTGAGGATTCCCATTCTCAATCAACTATCCTTCTTCGGTATGGAAAGAGATCCAAAACCAGAAGAGATTGCTCAAGCCCTACACTTGCAACCCTCTGATGTCACAACTAATTGGGAAACAAGGAGTGGGGTCAAAGGTTTCTTAGCCAAGTTCTTGTTTGAGAAAGCTCAAAACTGTTGGAACTCCTTGGACTTGCAAGCTTTTGAGGAAATTGTGGCTCTCCACATCTATGGGGTGGTTTTGTTTCCAAGTTCTGACCAACTCATAGATGTAAACACCGTCAAAATCTTCATGTCTCATAACCCGGTGCCTACTTTGTTAGAAGACATCCTGCATTCTTTTCACACTCGCACTATGAGGAAAAAAGGTATCCTTATGTGTTGTACTCCACTCTTGGCAAGATGGTTTATTTCGCATCTTCCCCAATCTGTATTAAATAACGAGCAAGGTTCAAGGTGGTCACATAGGTTGATGATGCTCATACATTCAGACATTCATTGGTGTTCTCGGTCTGTGGAGAATGTTACTATCGTCGATCGTTATGGAGAATTCTCTAATGTCTCCTTACTTGGCATTAGAGGTGGCATCGCCTACAACCTCTACTTAGCATTAAGACAATTTGGTTACTCCCGAAGGGATGACCCACATGAGATGCTTATTCAAGGTTTGGTGTTTGACTACGAGAATGACGATCAAGGTCACCGCCAGAGGTTTATCCGAGCTTGGAGGATGTTAAACAAGGTAGATAGCAAGACATTGGGGCACAAGAATTCCATCCCTCTTGAGCCTTATCTCAAATTGGTACGAGCTTGTGCTCAAAGTCTTATGATGCCTTACCCCTCCATTCTCCCAGTTATCATAGATCCTATTGTGGAAGAAGATATTCCATACACTATCCTTCATCCTGACATGCCCACCTCTCTCAAAGACTTGCAAAGGGATTGGATACAGCTTAAGGGGGAGCGAGACACTTTCGAGGCCCAATTCTATGCCAACGAGAAAAAGGTTCTGGAACTCACCAAACAGCTTCATGAGGAGCAGAGTCTGAACGCCTACATTGCACCAAAGAGGATGCATTCAACTTTTTTATCTTAGAGGTTTTGTATTTCTTTATAATCCCAAAGAGGCATGATGTACTCAAACTTTGATTTATTAATATAACGTGTGTTCCTTTTTGTATAAAGCAAATTTAAATCTCTAATTTCCTTGAAATCATTGCATATGCATCTCCATTCATCATAACATAAGCAGGTTTGTTACAATAGGTCTCCTCATCTTTCTACTGTTTATTTCAGTAAGATGGACATGGAACAAACTGTAAAAGATCTCCAGGTGCAGAATGCTCAGTTTCAACAAATGTTCTTGACTTTGGCGAAAGGGCAAGAGGATTTGAAAACTTTGCTGATCAAAGAAAAGAAGAAGAAAGCAAAGAAATCAACCGGTGTTCTGAATCTAGGAAGAAAGTTCCCAGGACCAGCCAGACAGACCCTAGACTTTGCAACATCATCTGGTGAAAAGGATAATCAAGAAGGGAAAGGCAAGGAAGTGACTGCCCAGCCAGAATCTGAAGAAGAAGAAGAAGAAGATTACTCTAAAGAGCAGTATCCTCCGGCTGGCGACGAATACAAACATCTAGAAGAACGTCTAAGTGCAATGGAGATTCAGAAAGTGCTCGGGCTGGAATTTGAAGAGTTGGGTTTGGTGTTTGGGATTGTTATTCCACCAAAATTCAAAGCACCAGTGTTTTCTAAGTATGACGGGGTTTCGTGTCCCAAGATGCATCTCTGATCTTATGTGAGGAAGATACAGCCTCACACTGCCGACAGAGATTTGTGGGTCCACTTCTTTCAGGATATTCTATCTGAAACTCAACTAGATTAGTTCTATCAACTAGAGAGGTCCAATATACATAATTGGGAAGACCATGCTACTGCTTTTTATAAACAGTATCAGTACAACGCAGACCTTGCCCCCACCCGTACTT